CAACAACAATATATATATATATATATGTATATATGTATATATGTGTGTGTGTGTATGTACATATCTACTCAATCAGCCTCTCTCTTAAACACAAACATACATTTACATACACATATGGATGCATGGTGGTGGTTGTATCCCGTTAAGTGAATTCCAACTCATAGGATTTCTAAGGCTGTAAATCTTTGTGTACGCAGAAACCTCAACTTTCTTTTGTGGAGCACTTGGTAAAACTGCTGACCTTGCAGTTACCAGCTCAGTTTGTAATTCATTATGCTACCAGGGTTTTCCCATAACACATGCATATACAAGTACACACACACACATACATATGGTGGTGGTAGTTATTTGCCACTCAGTCAGTTCTGATTCATATTGACCCCGTATAAGTTTTCTGAGACTGTAAATATTTACAGGAGCAGAAAGCTGACTGGAGATTTGAACTACTGACCTAGAGGTTAGCATCCCAGTTTGAAATCCACTACAATACTAGGGCTCCTTACATTTGTTTTGAGCCCTGGCGTTGCACTGTTAGGAAAAGCACTGGGCTGCTAACCACAAGGTCTGCAGTTCAAACTTATCAGGTAGCTGCTTCTTAACAACCCTAATATAGCAACCCAAATAACAGCAACCCTATACAGAGTTTGCTGCTCCGCAGAAACCCTATAGAAGTCACTATGCGTTGGATCTGACTCAATGGTATTTAACAACAACAACAACAACAACAACAGCTAAGAATTTCAAGGCTATAATTCTTTAAGGGATCAGAAAGCTTTATGTTGCTCCTGCAAAGTGGCTGGTGCACCTGAACTGTTGACCTTGTAGTACCAATCCAATGCAATATAATGGTCAAAGCAATCCCTCAGAGGCTAAGAGGGAGCACAAAGTTTTGTTTACAAATCATTTGCATTATATGGTTGCCGTTAAGTGTCATCAAGTTGTTATATTAGGTATTATAAATACTTCAGCTGATTTAAAAAGTATGCAGGAGGACCTCCAAATACTATTCCATTTCATATAAGGGACTTGAGTATCCTTGGATTTTGTATGAGGGGCTATCCTAATACCAATCATCAATGAATATTAAGGGAATGCTGTACATGGATGTAGAATTATACATAAATATAGATATAGGTATGGGAATTGTTAGAGTACTAATGTGGCACTGGAGGAGAAGCATTGGACTGCCAACTATAAGGTCAGTGGTTCAAACCCACAAGCCACTCCTCAGAAACCCTTTAGAGGGTCACTATGAGTTGGAACTGACTTGATGGCAATTAACAGCAATAATAATATAGATATGGTTATCAACTCGAATATGGATATGTTAAAGATGTGACTATACCAATAGCTATATTTGTACACTGTAGCTCATGAATTATAGATTAATAAATAGAAATTGATTTTTTTTTATTTGAGAAAGAATACTTGAAAGAATAAATATGGTCAGAGATTAAATATAATCTGAACAATAATTTCACCATTAGTTCAATTGAAACTCAATTTCAGAGAAAATGACCAAATCAAATTCATTTGACCATTATTTTATCATAAACTAATATTAGCCTATCAGTATCACAAAGGTATTGATTTTTTTTGTCTTATGCAAAGAAATTTTTAAGATAGAAAAGCAGCTTTTCACAAAGTTAGCACTTCCTCTCACTAAATCTAAGAAATTTTAGTATTTACAACAAACAATGATTCTAAGGTCTATAAGGTGTGCTGTGACTCTGTAGGATAAGCAGTGAACTGCTAACAAAGTTAGCAACTCAAGCCACCAATTGTTTTGCTTATTAAAAATGAGGATTCCTTCCGCTTCAAAGATTTACAGTGTCAGAAACCCTATATAGTGTTGCTGTGAGTCAAAACCAACTCAGTAGCATTTAACAATAAGATACACAAGTTTACATTTTTTCCAATTATAAAAGTGGATTGTATCTTGCAATTGCAAGTATTTTAGGATTACCTGTCTTCAGGTTTGACTCTGTCTTTCTAGTCCTGGACAAATGAAGGTCATCAGTGGCTACAGAAAATACTGGAAAATAGCATACTCTGTACCCTTCCACATTTTTTACACTGACAAATACAGTTGTTTATTTATTCTCCTCTCTTTAAGCATGATTGAAGCCTTGGTAAATTTTGAGGAGCACTACTGTTTTGGCACCTGTTAACTGTGAATATGAAGCTATTACAGAACTTTCTTTGCTTTTACTTGAGTTGGAGATCACTGAAGAATTCAATTAATTCATCTGTGACTGATGGATAAATCTAAAAAATAACTTTATATTTTATTTACTTGTACGTAAAATAATGATACATTTTATAATTAGTAACACCTTACCAAACCAACCAAAACCACTGTGATTCAGCCTTTCCTGACAAAAAATGACCCTATATAGGGTTTCCCATGCTATACATTTTTACAGGAGCAGAAAGTCTCATTTTTCACCCACAGAGCTGGTGCTGGTCTTGAACTAAACACTGACCTTATAGTTAGCAGTCATGTGCTTATCCTAAAGTGCCACTATTGTTTAATTATAATAAATATTACTTCCCCAAGTGTTCTTTTTAATAGATTTGGGTAACAGTGGCATGAATACAGTTAAAGATATTAGAACATCTTTCAGGCAATTTAAAATACTGTAACTCTATGACTATATGCAACATTATTCGAATGTACAAGTATTTAGTCACAGAACTGTATTTTCATGAACTATCTCAAGAAACTGATACTTTTCAGGACAAACTTAAGAAAAACAATTGCGTATTTAAGAAAAGCTCTTCCAGAGTTACTAATATCTGAGTCTCTGATTTTGTCCTTCATTCCACAATTCCAATTGCGTTTTGACCAGCTTTCTCTTCAAATCCTAGAAATAGAAATGTTGTCTCAACTGTGACATGAAATCTGTACTGTAAAATAGGTTCTAAGGAGGAGATTAGCCATATCTTGGACTTAACTATTTTCTGCAATGATGAGTTTCCTTTTTTTGTGTGTGTATGTGTGGCTTGGTCTCTAAAACAATTCTCTATTTTGGAAAATAAAATGTGTTTCCTACTCTCTATGTCACTGAAAATCAGAGATAATATACAGTATTTTGCAAACTTCATTCAACCAGAGCATTATAGCAACATTCATGATTAAAATTAGAAGGCTTAGAGAATAGCCACAAAAAATATATATTATTTTCAAACATTCATGATTAAAGTTACAAGGCTTAAAGAATAGCCAAAAAAGACCCCTAATATTTTCAACTTAGCAGTGTCAAGTTTAAAACTGTTCTCAAATTGTTAGAAACCATAGGAAAATATATTTGAGTAGCAATGTTTAACTAATGTGTCTTCTTTGTCTTGTCTTCTCTACTCTGAAAATCTATTCACTCAACCAACTCTCTCTTTAACAAAAACAGTATTATCATAGCACATCATCTTATGTGGCATAATAAAAAATGAATCCTCATTGTCCTCTCTATTCATGCTACATGCAGTCCCCTGGACATAGACATCCCATCTCAAAGGATTAAGGAAGCATAATGATGACATATCACAGAAGTTATTAAAAAATTTACCTTTTCTGGAACCACACTTTTGCCATCCCAAGCATAACCTCTCTTGGTGAAATAGTTTACAGTGGCAAACTCAATCAGAGCTGAGAATACAAAGGCATAGCATACTGCAATAAACCAATCCATAGCGGTGGCATAAGCCACCTTAGGGAGGGAATTTCTGGCACTTATGCTCAATGTTGTCATGGTGAGCACAGTTGTCACTCCTGTAAAGAAAGAAATTAAATGAGTACATAGTTTTCAGACTACAAAATTTCACCCCAGGAGGTCAGTCTACAACTATTTGTTCAGAGAGGAATTATTTTGGAGGGATGAGTTTTAATTTAACTCCAATGTAGTTTATGATTCTTTGTATGGTGTTTTTATTTATGAGGGGGAAATCCTGGAAGGTCAAGCTTTTCTGTTATCCAGAAGCAATAAGATAAAAATGAATTCCTTTAAATTAAAATTAAAGCATTGTACACTAAGTAGGAAAATAAACATTCCTCATGTACTCACTTCTTTAAAATAAAAACTCTGGTCCTCAGCTCTCTTTAATATTATATGTGTATACTCCAAACATAGCAAAGTCAGTGGTTCAAACTCACCAGCCACTCCTTAGAAACCCTGGCTAAAATGTAATTATTTTAGAATGACAATGTTTTATTTTATCATCACTCTTATACTATTTTTCCTGATTCTAAAATATACTGTTGAAGAAATTACTGAAACAATGCTATGCAAACTTCAGGTATTTAAATAGCTTGCTCAAAAGTGGAAAGCACAACACATCAATACAAGTTGGTCTGATACAAATATTTCTCATATAAATAGTCATCACAGTAAAACAATATAATTTAAAAGAAAATACTTAAAAAAAAAAATCCATGATCTTTCCGTTTCTATAAATGCTACTTCATCTTTTCTACCTTGCACTTAAATTCAAAGCAGTTTTCAAGACCTTCTTGGTTATTTAGTGTTTTAGATAATTACTCAAATTAATATGTGAATGATGGTATCCACTTATATTTTTATTTAATAAATGAATACTGTATATCTACTATATGTAATGCAGTGCACTAGAAACAAAAGGACAATGTTATAAGGTTTCATTTATGTGTAAAATATGTATAAAATAACAATTAACATAAAGCATTAGGGGTAGATCCTATTGTATTGTGTAGAAAACAACTTTGACCTCTTCCAGGACTAGTCCTAACAACACCACTTGTTAAGTACATGACCTTGGTTAAATCAATTAATTTCTAGCCATCTCAGCCTTAGAGAAAAACATTTGAATATTCAAAAAGTTAGTGGATTAAATTGATTAGCACTAAGCTAATACTTTGCATGTGCACAGTTAACAATTACATTGAGTTGCAATTATTACCCATAAACTAAGAGCAGTTAAGTATAGCATAAATAGATGTGTGTCTGTGTTGTAATACAATTCTTCCTATGGAGTAAAGGGAAAGAACAATTATTTGTTGAGCTATTATTATGTTCCAAGTACTGGCCTCATAATTTATATATTTTATTTATTTTTAATATTTAACCTGCCAAACATCACTAGTTTACAGGCAACTGAAAGTCAGGTAGATGAAGTACATTGTTCATCAAGATCATACAGTTGGTTAGCCAGTTGTCATTTAATAGATTCCGAGTAATTATGACCATGTGTGTGAAAATGGAACTGTGCTCCACTGGATTTTCAATGGCTAATTTATCTTAGTAGATTGCTAGACCTTTCTCTGACTAGGCTCAAACTGCCAAACTTTTGGTTAGTAACTGAGCACATTTACTATTTGCACCACTCAAAGACGCCATAACAGAACTGAACAAACCTAACACTCAATCTGTATGTCACCATAGTTATATGACCAGGTTGCCTCCTAACAAAAAACAGCATGAAAAGGCCCAGAACAGGACATGAAAAATTTTAAAACAGGCTTCATCCTTGCTGCAATATGGATATCTTTTAATAAGCTGTTGGAAAATATAACTCCCCCCTTTTTTTAATTTGTTTTTTGTTTTCTATTTTTTGCTTCTTTCCTTTTTCATATTTTAAAAAAAAATGCTTATGACCCTCTTGGGCATGTCACACAGTTCAGAGGAATTTATTGAGAACAGACTAAAAAGAAAAGAAACATGTGTACTAAGTAAATGTTAAAAGACAGAAGGTCTAAGAAAATAGTATTTATGACTTTGTTCAACTCAAAATACTTGAAACCTTTATCTGATACAAAGAAAAATTTGCCAGAACTGAGTTCAGAGATAAGTGGTTATGTTCATCAAAACGGCATGAGTTTGTTGAGGTATAGTACAAATATAAAAATTGTTTAGAGCATGATTTTTGACTTGTAAAACATCCTGAAACAATTTAGGGAATTTGTAAAAAAGGAAAGGGTTACAATGGGAGGGGAAAAGTGAGCACTTAAAAATAATCTCTCACTGTATTCCTTGGCTCATCTGATAATCATAAAATTAATCATAAATTAAATATGTTGTATTCTGAATTAATACTTTTTTAAAAATCCCTAGTGAGAAAAAGACTCAAAAAAAAAAAAAAGTCAGTTCCAATTCATAGCTACACTCTATAGGGATTTTGAGGAGCGGCTGGTTGGTTTGAACCAGTGATTTTGTGGTTAGCAGTCCAGTTCTTATCTTATAGTATCACACCAGGAGCTTCATATACATATATTGTTGCTGCTGTTAAGTGCCATTGAGTTGGCTACAACTCATAGCAACACTGTTTAGGGTTTAGAAGGAGCGGCTGGTGAGTTTGAACCACCGACCTTGTAGTTCAAAGCAACTTGCAGTTCAGTGCTTATCCTACAGTGCCACACTAGGATATAAGTATGATAGCCATATATGAAATATTTATGAGTGGATAGATAGATAGATAGATAGATAGATAGATATCATATATGTTGTTGTTAAGTAACTTTTCATTAATTCTGATTCATAATAAGGCTTACAAATCTTTTCAAAAGCAGAAAACTTTATCTTTCTTTTGCAGAGCAGCTGGTGGACTTGAACTTCCAACCTTATGGTTTTAAGTCAAGCACTTACCTTATACAGCCACTGCATTTCCAATATATATATATTATTGTTCATTGCTAAGTGACTTCAAGTCAGTTCCCACTCACAGCAACCCTGTATAGTGTTTTCAAGGATGGGTTGGTGCAGTCAAACTGCCAGCTTGTGGTTAGCAATCTAGTGCTTATCCTACAGTAGTGCCTCACTAGGACACTGCATACGTATTGGTTTTGTTGTTTTTAGGTGCTATTGAGTTAGATCCAACTAATAGAGACCCTATGTACAACAGAATGAAACACTGACCTGTACTGTGCCATCCTCATGATTGTTGTTACATGTAATAGTTAGGGTTTTGTATCAACTTAACTAGACCAGGATTCCTGTGGTTTGGCAGTTAAGATGTGCTTATTCACATGGTGATTAAACTTAGTACAGGTATAGTTAAATTTATGATGAGTGGCTATGCAGCCAATCAATTGAAATGATGCTTCTTTGGGGGTGGGGACTGCTCCCAATAAAACAGACACTCAAGAAAGACTCTTTCTCTTCTGCTGGGAACTAGACATATGCAATTTTAAGTCATTCCTTAATAATAAACTTCTCTTTAGAAATATATATATATATATATATATATATAATTTATATATACATATATATAATTATGTATATATATATATAATTTATTATTATTAACCTGTTTTGCTTCTCTAGAAAACCCAGCCTAAGTCATTGCTAATGTCACTGTACAACACATTAGGGTATTTTCCTCTTTTTCACTGACACTCCACTACTCCAATCATGACATCCTTCTCTAGGAACTGGTCTCTTCTTTAAACATTTTTAAAGTATGAAATGTGAAGTCTCATCACCCTGGCTTCTAAGGATCATTCTGGTTGTACTTCTTCTAAAAAAGATATGTTTGTTGTTCCGGAAGTCCATGGTACTTTCAGTATTCGTCTTCAACACCATAACTCAAATGCAACAATTCTTCACTGGTCCTCTTCAACACATAGAAGAGGCAGCTGAAAATAACATGACTTGAGTCAGGCACAACTTAGTCCTGAAACTGTTATTTTTACTCTCACTTTAAAGAAATCTCATATAGCAAATTTGCCTAATGTGATACATCATTTGATTTCTTGACTGCTATTTCCAGGAGTGTTGATAGTGGATTCAAGAAAAATGATATTTTTGACAACTTCAATCTTTTCTCCATTTACCATGATGTTTTTATTGGTCAAGTAGTTAGAATTTTTGTTTTGCTTACAATAAAGTGCAACCCACATTGAAGGGTGTGGTCTTTGATTTTCAAGTCCTATTCATTTTCAGGAAGCAAGGTTGTATCGTTTGCATATCACAGTCTGTTAATTCAAAACTAATGCTGCATTTTCTTCATACAATAATACATCTTTTCAAAATTTTGCTAAGCAAACAAACTGAACAAGTGTGGTGAAAGAATATTACCTCCATGCACATCTTTCTTAACTTTAAACCATTCAATGCCCCCTTTTTCTATTGGAACAACTGCTTGTTGGTCTGTGTGCAGGTTCCTCATGAGCACAACTAAGTGTTCCATGAAACTCATTTTTTGCAATGCTGTCCATAGCTTTACATGATCCAAACAGTTGAAGGCCTTTGCATAGACAATAAAGCACAGATAAACATCATTCTCATATTCTCCACTTCAGTCAAGACCCATCAGATATCAGGAATGATAGTCATCACTTTATGTTCTTGCCTAAATCTGTTGTGAAAATCTGGCAGTTCCCTATCAATGTACTGATGAAGTAGTTTTTGAGATTCTTTTAATAAAATTTTACTTGCATGTTAAATTAATGGTTATTATTAACATCATTAATGAAAATTAAAAATTTATTATTTCTGTATTCCATTGATTCACCTCTCCTTGGAATGGGATCTCTTCAAATCAGTTGGCAAGGTAGCTGCCTTCCAAATTTCTTGGTGAAAATGAGAGTTTTTCCAGTGCCCCATGAGTTTGTTGAAAGATTTTAATTATTATTCCATCAACGCTTGGAGCCTTGTTCTTTGTCAATGCCTACAGTGCAAGTTTGATTTCTTCCTTCAGTACCATTAGCTCTTGATCATATGTTATTTCTTCTTCTTCTTTTTTTTTTTT